GAACTTAGTCAGCCTTGGAGGGGAAGGGGCAAAAACTGTCCATTAAGTCCCTCTGACCAGATTAGTATAGACCTCAAAGTATGACTGTTAAACATCTGATAAGGTTAGTTCAACCAGTCTGGTACTTTTAATTATCATGTGCTATGTAGATAAAGCTTGGGTAAAAAACCAAATGTTCTCAGACAAACCTTGATTAGATATATATTTTGTTCCTCAAACTAGTTTACTAAACTATGACCTTAGAAATTTTAAAATTATGTGTATATTATTTTTGTCTCATCCTTTATGTATCATAACAAACCTTCACAGACCTTCATCACTTGCCTTTCTCATTTTTTCTATTTTGGAAAATATCTCCATTCCCATATCCTTTTAACATCTTTTATATTACCTTTTAACACCTTTTACAGTCTCATTTTTTAAGAAATAATTATGAGACATAATAGCATTAACAAATTTTCCATCTCTTGTGAGAATTCTTTCCCTGGGGATACTAAGAAATGCTTATTCCCTTTTAGTGTCAAGCTAATGTTCAATTAAAGTTTTACTGGTGAACCAATGAATTTACTGAGCTTACTTACTGAGATAACTGAGGGGTTGCTGAGGTATATGTATGACGGTATGCGCACTGGAAAGCCTTTACCCAGCTTGGGTCAAGCCTTCTCTCTTGTGAGAATTCTTTCCCTGGGGATACTAAGAAATGCTTATTCCCTTTTAGTGTCAAGCTAATGTTCAATTAAAGTTTTACTGGTGAACCAATGAATTTACTGAGCTTACTTACTGAGATAACTGAGGGGTTGCTGAGGTATATGTATGACGGTATGCGCACTGGAAAGCCTTTACCCAGCTTGGGTCAAGCCTTCTCTTCCAGCCTTCCCCAGATTGTATACTTTAGCTCTCTCCAAATCAAGGAGACCATGTGTGATTATGGCCAAATTACATACAGTTGGCTGGGAAGAGTGGTTGGGTACTCCAGTAAGGGTCCAATGACCCTGCTTGCCACTCCTTTAATGAAGGAGCACAACTGACAGCAAGCCCAATTGTGACAATGTTTAGCAATCAAGCACAGCTGAAGTTGTGCCGATGGTAGTTATTTCATTCAGAAGAGACTGCGGTACAGCATCATCTTATTAAAAGGACATGAAATTTAAAAGGATTTGGTGCCAAGTTCCACAAATGAGGGGAGAACATATGTCTTTTATTTTTCTGAGTCTGTTACTTGACTTAGTATAACAGTTTCCAGATTCATCCATTTACCTGCAAATTTCATTATTTCATCTTTCTTAGCTGCTGAAGAGAACTGCATTGTGTAAATATATCACATTTTTGTTAACCGCTCATCAGTTGAGGTTGCTTCCATCTCTTAGCTATTGTGAAAAGATCAGCAACAAACATGGTTGTAAAAGTGTCTACAATAGGATGAGTCCTTTGGGTATGTGCTGAGAAGTGGTATAACCGGGTCATATGGTAGGTTCATTTTTAGTGTTTTGAGAGTTCTCCACACTGTTTTCCATAGAGGTTGCACGAGTTTCAATTTCCTTATATGTTATAGGTCTGTTTAAACTGTCGATCTCTTCTTGGTTTAACTTTGGTGGTTCCCATGATTTCATATATCCATCCATTTCTTTTAGATTTTTCAGATTTAGTAGCATATAGGTTTTTAAAATATTCCCTTATAATGGTCTGGATCTTTTGGGTGTCTGTTGTGATGTTTCCCCTTTCATCTCTGATTTTGTTGATTTGAATTTGCTGTTTCTTTTTTTTTTTTGTTAACTGGGCTAAGGGTCTGACTATCTTGTTTAGCTTTTCAAAGAACTAGCTCTTAGATTCATTGATTCTTAGCATTGTTTTCTTTGTTTCTAGTGCATTAATTTCTGTTCAGAGTTTTGTTATTTCTTCTCTTCTGCTGGGTTTGGGTTTCATTTGTTCTTGCCTTTCCAGTGTCTTGAGTTGCAGTGTTAGGTCATTTATTTGTGCTCTTTCTAAATTTTTAATGTATGCACTTAAGAGCTATAAACTTCCCTCAGGACTGCTTTTAATGTGTCTCAGAGGTTGTGTTGTGTTGTATTGTCCCTTTTGTTGAATTCCAGGAATTTTTTAATTTCTTTTTTAATTTGTCCTTTGACCTACTCATTGTTTAAGAATGTGTTGTTCAATCGCCATGAGTTTGTGTAGTGACTAGGGCTTTTTTCAGTGATTTTGAGCTTTATTGCATTGTGGTCTGATAGAATGCATGGAATTATTTCAGTTTTTTTATATTTGTTGAGGTTTGTTTTGTGGCCCAGTACGTGGTCAATTTTTGCAAAAGTTCCATGGTGTGCTGAGGAGAAAGTGTACTCTTTGGTTCTTGGGTGGAATATTTGAAAGATATCTATTAGGTCCTTTTGATATATGGTATCATTTTTCAGATGTCTCTGTTTATTCTTTGTCCCGTTGACCTGTCTAATAGAGACAGTGGGGTACTGTAGTCCCCTACTATTACTGAATTGGAGTTAGTCTGTGTCTTAAAGTCCTGTAGTTTTGTTTTTATGAATTTGGGTATACCAAAGTTTGATGCATATATGTTAAGGATTATAATATCCTCTTGGTTAACTGTTCCATTGATCAGAATGAAGTGACCCTACTTATCTCTTCTGATTAGTTTTACTTTGAAGTCTATTTTGTCAGGCATTAGAATTGCAACTCGTGCTTATTTCTTTGTGCCATTTATTTGGAATATTCTTTTCCATCCTTTTACCTTAAGGTAGTGCCTGTCCTTGAAGGTGAAATGGGTTTCGTGCAGACAACAAAGAGATGGATTTTGTTTCTTAATCCAGTCACTTAGCCTGTGTCTTTTGAGTGGGGAGTTCAGTCCATTGATATTTAAGGTTATTATTGAAAGATGTGTATTAGTTGCCATCATTTTGATTGCTCTTTGTGTTCTCTAATTTTGTTTTCTTAGATTATATATTTATTTATTTATTTATTTCATTGCCCCTAGGGTATAGTTGTTTCTCTCCCTGCTCTCTGTATTTCTTCAAGTATTCTTTGAAGGGTTGGTTTTGTGGACTTGTATTCTTTCAGGCTATTCGTGTCATGAAAGATTTTTCTTTCCCCCTCAACTATAATAGACATTTTTGCTGGGTAAAGTATTCTGGGCTGCCATCTGTTGTCATGTAGTACTGGAAATACCTTGGTCTAGGCTCTTCTGCCTTTCATAGTTTGCATTGATGAATCATCTGTAATTCTGATGGGCTTTCCTTTGTATGTGACTTGTTGTTTATCTTTTGTTGCTTTCAGTATTCTCTCTTTGTTCTGTACATTTAGTGTTTTTATTATGATATGTTGTGGGGAGTTTATTTT